CTTACCAGCATTTGGCACTGTCACTATTTTTAATTTTAGTTGTTATAATAGCTGTATAGTGATATCATCTATAAACTCTTTTTAGACTTCTGGGTGTACATGATACTAGTCTCAGCTTTGAGCCCTCAGCCTAAACTCTTAGGCAACAAGAAAACTTAAATTTAATATCTCATTGTACAGTGATTCATGTAACTTCTGACTTTGGCTAAGAATTTCCAGGAAGGAATTAGAATGCTAATTAGAATTCAAATAGAGTTTGGCAGCAGTATCAGCTTGAGCCTAAGATACAGCTTCAGATGTGTTTCATATCTACTGGGCATGTCTGGTGAAACGGTGGTGTATTCCAGAAATCTATTTGTATGCAAGACTTAGAAGTTTCCTAGGAGATCACTCATCTCAAAGAAAGACTTTGCCTAGTAACCAAGCCTCCCAGTTGTCAGATGGAAGGGCAGGGCAACTTTTGTAGGCTGCATGATATTTACCAGTTGCATTGGTCTGCTAATTTTATGCACAATTTTGTCTCTCAAGTTATATATACCCAAATTCAGCTTGGAAAAGTAGAGGATGCTAAAATTGAAGACACTAAAAGGACCATTCTTGCTAAGATTTTGCAAGACATTGAGATTTAAAGAATTGAGTACTCTTGAAACCAAGCATAACAAAAAAAGGAAGAGAAGTCTCCACACTTCTGTAAAAAAACACAGTTGAACTCTGGCACCTTGATGTCTACAGCAGTGATGGTAAGGTCCCCAGATGGAGGTTTTGTCTGGGGGTTCTGGAAACCGCCAGGCTGCAACTTGAAACAGCAGTAGTGAGGGAAATGAATAGATCTGTAGGCATTAAGAGGCAGCAATTTAGGTTTTGAAAGTGGTGAAGTGCCCCCAAGAAGCATATATCAAATAGTGAAATATGAAAAAACCTGGATTACAAATATATTTCAGCAGCTTCTCTTTTCTTTTTCACTATGGTGTATTTTTTCTCATATGTCTACTCTATCTTGTTTAGGTTTAAGCATACTTTAATTTTTAATTCATCAGTTGAGCTGTCTTAAGTTACCATGGTACTGTGCACACATCATCATTTTTTATACTGAGTGTAGTCTTAAAAGGGGAAAAACCCACTGTTTCTCTCTTTCTTGCTGCTTTAATGAGGATGGAGGGTGGGTTTCAGACTGGTAAACTAAATGTACGACTGCAGACAGACCTTTTCCTTTATTGGGCTCCTTTCCTCACCTCCGTTACTGATCAGCCTCCAGCAGTATCTGCTTCTCAAAACTTGGGACGAAATGATTGTGTCCCCATTTGTGTCCTATCATAGTACTCTTAACTTTTTCTACAGTTTTTAATGCTTTATGCATACACCTGTCAGAAGAGCTTCTTTAAAATAAATGCAGTACTTGACTTTAGCTGCCATTAGATGGTGGACTAGTTAACATGATTTACTCCATTCCCATCATGAAAATAACTAAAAATGTTGGATAAATTATTCTAAAACATCTTTTGCAATAAATTGATGATCTAGCAAGAAGGAAAAAAATATTTTCAGATGCTAAAAAAAAGTGAATAAAAGGAAACAGAAGATAAATAGATAAGTAGACTGAGAAAGTCAGGTTTTACCTTGAGTCTATTTGCCAAATCTGCCAAACCCAACATTCAATCTTCAACTGTTCAAGAGAGAGCAAGTTCCCCACATTATGGCCCTTTATACCTAAAAATTTAGGGCTATTCTCTTACATAACTACAGTACACTTACCATCTTTAGTAAATTTGACATTAATACAATACTCTTGTTTAGTCTAACAATATTCAAATTCTTTTCAGCTGACTCAATAATATCCTTTATAATTTTCCTCTAGAGTACAGGATCCCATCTAAACAGATCTTGCCTTGAATTGTCACATCTCTTTGGTATCTTTTAACCTAGAACATTTCCACAGCCTTTCTTTGTCTTTTATGACATTGATATTCATGCATTTTTGGCCTAAATATTGCATAGATGATAATGTGTTCTTCTCAGGAAATCACCTCTGGAATTACATGATGTCTAGCTGTTCTTCATTGATGAAGTAAATTTTGATAATTTTAGTCAAGATGTTGACTTTTTATTTTATAATATTTCACTGTACAATTATTGCTTTTTTTCTTCCTTGCAATTCATATGCAGTTCGTGGGGATATAACTGTAAGACCATGCAAATCCATTTTTCATCAAAACTACCCCGCTGGATTTAACATCCATTGATGATTCTAGCCTGAGCCAATCTTTATTCTGATGGATGCAAAGTGACTATTTTCCAACTCTACCCATCCCTCCACAATTGCCAGTCAGCTCTTAGCATTCTACTGGAAATGAGTACTCCCTTCCATCCCATTTATTTATTCTGTCTATCCATCTATCTATATAACAATCATCTAGCTATTTACTATTGGTATGAAATCGTGAATTTCTATTTTTCCAGTGGTTTATAATTTGTTACTGTGCCTAATTGTTTTGGAGTGAAATTATCCCAGATCTGGCTAGTGGGAGCCCCTTCGATCTGACTCCTGTGTTCTGGTGATAAGCCCCCATAATTTTTCAGAGAACTTTTTCTTTTCCTCATGTAACAATATGTTCCAGGCTCTTTTTGTACCTACATGCCCAAACTCTGCATTAAGCCATTCCTCTGAGGATCTCTGGGTCCTTTTAGAGGGGAATGGTATTAAGAACTAAGATATGGGTGTGAGGTATGTTCATTGCTACTGGGGTATCTTTGCTTCTTGGCTCTTTCAGTGGTCAGAACTGTGATATATATGCACATATATACTCACACACATTCATATACAAATACATAAACACATATGTCCACATAAATATATTGGATTTTTTTGAAATTTTTATTGTGGTAAAATATATATTAAAAATTTGCCATTTTAACTATTTTTAAATGTACAATTTAGTGGCAGGAATTACATTCACAATGGTGCGTAACAATCACCACTATCTATTTCCAAAACTTTTCATCCCCCAAATGGAATCTCTGTAACCATTAACCAATAATTCTCCATTTTTCCCTACCTCTCAGCACCTGAGAACCTCTAGTCTACTTTTTGTCTCTATAAATTTGCCTATTCTAGATATTTCATATAAATGGAATCATAAATTTGTGTCTGGCTTATTTCACTTAGCATAATATTTTCAAGTTTTATCCATGCTGTACCATATATCAGAACTTAATTCCTTTTTATGGCTAAATAATATTCCATTAAATGTATATACTTCATTTTGTTTACCCATTCATCTGTCGATGAACACTTGGTTTGTTTCCACGGATTGGCTATTGAGAATACGGCTGTGATGAACATTAGTGTACAAATTTGGTTTGTTCCATTGTTACGTTCACTAGCTCTTGTGTTACTTGTCCTATTATTTCTTTCAGTTTCTGATAGTGATTCCTTTGGGAGTAAGAGAGGTTCTTATCTTAGTAAAGCTTTGGGTACTTTGCTGTTTACTGAAGAACCATTCCATGAAAACTTTCACAACCAGTTTTTATTATTTTATAGCTATTAAGCTGATATGTTTAACAAATATTTTTTGTTCTGTACCGTATGATGGGTGCTAGAGATTCAACAACAATGAAAAAAAACAGGCATGGGCACTGCTCTCGGCTCTATGAAAGAGAATCAGTAAAGGCTTCCCTAAAGTAGCAACATCTGGATTGAGATCTAAAGGTTAAGTGAGTGTTAGCTGGGTGTGGAGGGGAAGATGAGAGCATTTTAGGCAGAGGAAAGAGTAGGTGCAAAATCCCTACTCCAGGAAAGCATGTGGCATATTCTAGAAATGAAGAACCACCATTTCTTAAAGACCAAGACCTATCCCTGATGTCATTATAAAAGAGACCGATTTCCATGAGCCAGACATAAAACTCATTATGTTATAGTCACACTCTAAGACATGATTAAAAATTTCTTTCACTAAATCACTATTATTCTAACTCTCAATGTCTATCAGCAATTGTGACTTTTGGAGAATTAAACACACAAAGAATCTCAAGGAATGTAAGAATAAAAATATTTGCATTAATATATTTGATAAAGTGATCTGAGCAGGATTAAATTTGTTCTTATCACACAAATGAATATAATATTGTGGTAAAACCCCCAAATAATGCAAAAGTGAATATAGGGCAATTGGTGATTGGCTCCTGTACTCTTTCTATCTCAGCCTCTGTTTTTTAAAAGGTGGAGAGGAAGCTAAAGCTTTATTTTCTAGATGGAGGGTGAGGCAAGATAGAGAAATGGTAGATAATTCAGTGTCAGGAAGCCAGGAGGTAGCAGGTGGGTCCCCATGTCCCCTTATTTTTCTGGCTTAACCTCTCCAGCTCCCTTAACTGGGAGTTTCCTGGAATCCCTGTTACTGTTTTGGTAATCCCAGCTGGGGATTAAAGGGAAAATAGCTCAGATCTAGAAGTAACCTTAGCGCTTGTTATAGCCCAGATGGGGAGGACACAGGAGATAGCTGAGCTCCCTCAGAGGCGTGACCATAATTTGCTGTGGTGGTGAGGACATATTGCTCCTTGTTGCTCCCACCAGACATGGGGCCATTTTACCTCCCAAATTTCTCTTCTTTCCCTCTGGCGCTGATGGCCTTGTGGCATTCTTGAGAGTTTTGAGTCAGATGGAGGGTACAGAAGGGAGAAGCTCAAAGGTGGAGTCTTATTCTGGAACTGACTTATGAACTTAGGCTCACTTGATTTAACTGCATTTAGTACAAAACTTCTAGAATAAACAGGGAGTTTAGAGGTAATAAAGAAATACTATATATAAAGCCGTATTTTTGTACTACTGAATTTTGAGTACTACTCTACCTGTGAAGTACAATGTCACATATGCTGGGGAGAGAGAGGAGAGTGGACTCTGATTTTATTATATATATTTCTTTTTTACTTTCCAAGAGGAAAACTGACTTTGCAGTTCCTAAATGTAGTTACATTTGTGAGCAAAATGAATTGAAATTCCGCCTGACCTTGTTCACAGTAGATTCCAGTGGTTCCTAAAGGACAGTAGCAGGTGTATCCATGAGGCAGTGAAATACAGGTTGCTCCTTGGCTACAGTGGTGTGGAGGGTCATGTTCAGGATCGCAGGTGGAAACTGTCTCAGTACAGAATGTTCCTTTCCACCCAGTGGGACAGTTGCAACTGTAGGTTGAGAGAAAAAGGAGCATGGTTTGAACGCTTGAGCAGAGATGGATATACACTTGTGTTCGCTCTGTTGTTAACTTGTCAGTTTTAACTGAGGTTCCACGGTATCCAAGTGAATTGTGATTCAAACTACCAAGATCCAAATTGTCAGAGAAAAGAGTTAATAATTAGGTTTAAGGTTCCTGGATTCCACAGAGTCTAGTATGGTTCAGAGCATGGAAATTCAAAGAATTTAGTAAGAAACATTTCTTTGGGCAAAACCATATTGTAAGTCCCTCTCTCCACTCCCACGCCATCACCAAATCTATGCATGGTGTTGCTGTCTCCTAATTTCAAGCCTAGAGAAAAGAGATTCAGTAGGACCACTTGGAGAGCCTGACGTGTGTTCCCTGACATTGGTGAACGCACAGGCCCAGCTCCTGGGGCTGCAGAAGGAAATGCAAACCTGTCAGAGGTGAATCCCAGGGAAAGGATGTGGCACTCACATTATACTTAGGAACATCACCTTGAGGACATACGAAAATGGATCTTCCCTAAGAGGCGTCCTGCTGGCTAAAGAGACCTCGGCAGTAAGAGGTAGTCAGTTTATGGCTGGAGTGGAAGCTGAGGGGTAATGAGTACTCGTGTGGAAGAGACACATTATCTGGGATTAGAGAGTGATGTTGAGAGGGGCCTAGCAGGGGAGTCTCTGATGGACCCATCAAAGGTAGAGTTTCCAGATAAAATGCAGGGTGCCTAGTTAAATTTAAATGTCAGATAAACAATGAATAAATTTATTAGCATAAGTATGTTCCGTATAATATTTGAATTTCAGATTAACGATATTTGAGGTATACTAAAAATTATTTGTTGTCTGAAATTCAAATTTATTTGGGCACCTGGTATATTCTTTCCTTCGTTCTCCCCCCCCACCCACATCTGGCAACACTACACTAAAGGGCACATGAAAGAAAGGGTTAGCTTTAAATTGCTGCCCATAAAGCAATAAATCATCTGCAAATAGTGCCAGTCAAAAAAGCACATTCCAGGATGGGGTGCGGGATGGGGGCTAAGAATCTATTAGGCTGGCAAAAGACAGCAGCAGATCACACCCGCTTGCCAGATCGTCCATTTAAGTCATAGCCCCTGACTGGATTTAGGGTAATTCATACGCTTGCTGAATCTAAGTTAATAGTTATGCAAAAGAAAAAATGTTTGAAAAATTGTATCTCGTTCTCCAAAAATGGAGGCAAACTAATACAGAATTAATCTGCAACAAAATTACATACAATTTTGGTTATTATTTGAAGAACACAAAATGTGTAAAGACCTTTTATTAAAAAAAATAGAATGAGTTACTAATTTTACAAAAGCACTAAAACTATAATCATAAATTCTTATTAAAGAATTTTTAAATAGATTAATGCCATTACTTTTAAAATGGTGATTGCACCATCTAGTGGTGAAAAGCGATAAAACTTAAAAACAGAAAGTCTTCCTGCCTTAAAGACCTCACAATGGTAAAATATTTATTTTTAAAATAAATTGTATGGTGTATATTTAAGGTAATGTTTGAGAATGAAATATGTATTTTGATATTAAAATATCATAAATCACATTAAGCATAATATATTAAATAATATAGATGCTATAAACTTATTTTAAAAATAACATCTTAAAGTAGAACCTCTTACAGTTCCTCTCAGAATCTTTAGGTCTAAAACAATTATCTATGTTTAAAAACATAAAAAATTACTTTCAAATACCATATACTACTTTCTTATGCTATATTTTAAGAGAGATTTTCATTAGAATGATTTTGTGCAAGGTCAGATTTTTTATTCCCTGGCTTCTTTAGCATCCTGTGAAATGTAGATAATAAAAATTTTCAAATTTTCATTTGTTATTCCCCACTTTGGGTGATATTTTTCTAACCCTTGAAGTTACTTCATTAACATTTCTTCCTTTAACCACATAACGTACTACTCTGCCCCAAGGAACAGTAGGTTTTGGAGAAGAATGTGTGTGAGGGAGGTGTCCATAGAGTGGGAAAAATAAAAACAAAACAAAGAGAGGTAGTATTTATTTAGTTAAAGAATATTTATTGTTATTATTATTATTATTTTTTTTTTTTGAGACAGAGTCTGGCTCTGTTGCCCTGGCGTCAGCCTAGCTCACAGCAACCTCAAACTCCTGGGCTCAAGCGATCCTCCTGCCTCAGCCTCCCGAGTAGCTGGGACTATAGGCATGCGCCACCATGCCCAGTTAATTTTTTCTATATATATATATTTTTAGTTGTCCAGATAATTTCTTTCTGTTTTTAGTAGAGACGGGGTCTTGCTCTTGCTCAGGCTGGTCTCGAACTCCTGACCTTGAGCGATCCACCCGCCTCGGCCTCCCAGAGTGCTAGGATTACAGGCGTGAGCCACCGCGCCCGGCCCCTATTGTTATTATTTTTACATGCTAGGTATCTGCCCCTGGCTTAGCACTGAGAATCCACAACACATGAGGCTCCATCCTTAACCTCATGGACTTGATATTTTGAAGGAATCAGATTAGTAATCAGACAATTTTAATACAATGGAACAAATGCTAAAATAGGTACTAGGGGACCCCGTAAGAAGGTCACCGCATAGGTTTTAATGAGCTCTGGGAAGGCTTCCAAAGGGAGATTTGCCTCCACAAGTGCATGCAGTGAGCAGTAGGGGCAGGAGAAGGCGGGAGAAGGAAACTGGTGCCCACAGACTTTGAACAGATGAGTGAGAAATGACATAACCGATGAGGCACATGACTGCCATGAAGATGCCTGCATGGTGTGACAATAAGCTCTCTGGTGATGTAATTTAACCTTAGTGGGATCTTACTATATTTCTGCTACTAGAAAAGGGGCTGGCAACCTTTATCTGTAAAGGGCCTTTTCTGTGTACTTTCGTGGGCCATACAGATTTTGTTGTAATAACTCAACTCTGCCATTGTTGAAAACAGCCACCGAAAACACACAAACAAATGAGCGTGGCTATATCCTAGTAAATTTTATTTACACAAACAGGTGGTGGGCCAGATTTGGTTTGTAGGTCGTAGTTTCCTGACCTCTGCGCTAGACCACCAGTTCGTGGGAGCAGAGATCGGGTGTGTTTGGCTATTATAGTCCCAAGGCCCAAACCAGTTCTTGGCATGTTGTAATTTTTCTTTGACTATTCAGAGAATAAATGAATAAGTGAATGAATGAATCACGGCTCGGAAAAGGAAGTAGGTGGATGCAAAAAGTCCTGAGTAGGGAAATGGCTGTGGGGACGGAAAGGTAGGAGAAGATGTGAGAGGCATTTTCAAGGCTTTGGTAAGTGTGTTGGTATGGAAAAGGAAAAATCATAGTAACGACAAACATTTATTGAGGCTTACTACCTGCCAGGCACTCTTCTAAGTAATTTAAATGTGTTACCCTTTTAATTCTCCTTATAACTTTATTAGGAAGGTACTGTCATCATCCTCATTTTGCAGAGGAGGAACTTGAGGAGCAGAGAAATTAAGGCTGGTAATGGGAGAGGGAGTCCACACTTAACCACCATTCTACGGCTCTCAATCTTGTGGAAATCTTTGGAGTGTCAGGATTACATGACTGAAAGAATATGGTGCCATCAGTGGAAATAGGGACATTTGTGTAGAAACACAGTAAAAGAAAAATATAAAGAATGCACTTCTAGCTAGACTGTGTTGGAGGTGAGAGTAGATGATAAAACAGCTTCTTTTCTATAAGCATCGGTGACATGCCTCAAAAACTTGGTGAGAGTTAAGGACATAAGACAGATTTGTGAATTAAGGAGACTTGCAAGCAAAGGGCTGAAGCACATGGCACCCACTATACACTAGCTAAGAATATTCAAAAGATACTAAGGAATCCTTAACATTATACAGAAAACTGTTTTCTTATTTCAAGACCATTCCAAAAATGTTACATATTTTTAATTTTCAATACACAAAGGACAATTTGTGGGTTCTCCTGCCTCTAAACATGTAGAGATGGTAACACAGAAGGAAATATCAGACACTTTAGAAATACAAGTGACAGCTGGTCATGATGGCAATCAAAAGTTGAATATTGGAATGTGTTATTACTAATATCATTAATTATTTTAATTCCGTGCTTTTAGAATGAAAGTGATTTAAATTCCTAAATTGCAGATAAATTAATTCTTACTGTCACTTTTATAGCTCAGAAACATGGATGGGGTAATTTTTTCTCATTACTATAAAAATTCAACATGAAGAATTTAATTTTCTTGCAATTAGGCAATTCTAAGACTGTGAGAGTTTAGGATGAACGTAGACATATAAAAATTAACTGAAAATGAGATAATAGAAGTTTTAATATTCTTTGTTTTAATTCACTTAAACATCATTTACTCACTAAATTCACCAAAAATGATATATAGAGCACCACTGCACTTTATTACCGGTGTGAATACAAAACAGAAAATATAGTGCCTACCACCCTCCCCAGGACTTGGTACTTTATTTAGAGCAAAGTTTTTATATGAAACATATGTATAAAATAGAATTCAAAGTTTATTGCGGCTTTACCTTAGTGCCAGGCACCATTTTAAGTACTTTATTTGTAGTTACTCATTTAATCCCCATATTAAGCCTATAAGATAACTACAATTAGCCCTCAGTTTACAGATGAGAAGCTAAGACTTAGAAAAATATAACCTCTGCTTAACCTACTCTTTCAGTTTACCTATCAAATATGGATTCTGATTGCTTTGGATAAGAGAGATTGTTGCATATATGTTGAGGCTGCGATGGTAACAGTAAGTTCTTGAAGAAAATTTACCTTGAGCTGGATCTGTAAAAAAGTTATGGTTACAGATTTGTGGGTTTTCTATACAGAAGAAAAAGCACAGACACTGTACTTAAAATGAAATATCTATGTGGTGTGATGATAAGGTCATATGAATAATAGAATAAATGTATGGAATTTAGCAATAGAGGATCACATGGCCTAAAGGACTCTACTGCAT